AGCACATAATTTGCAAAATTTATGGCCTGCTTTATATTTTGGGCATTTTTTTAATATTTCCCATTTAAGGATGGGGTCTATATTATCTTCTTGTTTGGTTTTCCATACGTAGGTAGATAGCGTGGTACTATGTTTAATTTTTGCATTCTTAAAACTACTCGTGTGGTTATAATATCTTTTTTTAAATTTATCCTGAGTAGCACCTATGTATGTTTTAGGGTTAGTATCCTCAGTATTTTTGTAAATTTTCACTTGATACACCACGCATTCCTGCTGGCATTTCCCCTGTAACGTTTGTTTGTACAATTACAAGTAGGAGGATTACTACGTGGATCATTCCTTGTTTTTTTCTTATTCAATCCATTTATAATAGTCCCTACGTTCGGCATACAACAATAACTAAGTTTTACCTTGTTTTTGTTAAATATTTTATGTAACTCAGTTTTTTGGGGGAAATGTTGTTCCAGTAAATTAAAAATATCTTACCAATTTTAGCTTTTACCGCTAAATTGAAAGGGGGATGAAACCACAAAATTTTTCTTTGCCTATTATGTTTATTCCGAGTAATATTGTGGTTGTTTATATATTCTAATTTATTTTTATGTCCACTCTTAATTAGGGCTTGCTCATAACTTATTTTGTTGGCCTCAAAAATGTCCCTATTGGAGGAATTAGTAGAAAGTCTATACCCAATATTTTTAGAAATATGCCTTATAATATGGGCTGGGTGATTTGATTTTATGTGTAAATACTGAGGTTCTTGATTTTCTTTTTTATACGGGGATATTGTGCCATTTTGTAAATTCAACGTAATATCTAGATAGTTGGTAATTTTCAAATTGGTTTGACTAGGTATATCTATCTATCTATCTATCTATCTATCTATCTATCTATCTATCTATCTATCTATATATATATATATATGTATATATATATATATTATGAAATGGACAAAGGTCGACAATTATTTTAAGACATTTTTTATATTTATATGTTCTTTTTTATAGATACAAATATTTAAGTAAATACTATATTTATAATAAACAGTATTAACAAAATTTACCGGCCTGAATATCATAGAAATTTTCAAAGAAAATATGCGTCCTCCGCATTTTACAGTTGGTTACGCATCGAGCAGATATGAATGTATGAGAGAAAATCGACATGGCTAACTGAAACGCTCCTCTGTGGCTCAATCGATAAAAGCACATCAGGCTATATGACGGTTCCATATAGGATACAGGTTCGAATCCTGTCGGAAGTCGAATATTTCCTATGAAAATTTCTCGAACTATCAGGCCGATAAATGTTGTTAATACTGTTTATTATAAACAGAGCATTTATTTAAATATTTGTATCTATAAAACGAACGTATAAACATAAAAAAATGTCTTTATATATATATATATATATATATATATATATATATATATATATTGTTTATGAAAAAGGTAATCCGTGTGGGTAAACCTAAGGAGGATAAAATCCAGAGAGCCCAATGTAAATTCAGAGCAAATAATTTAAATAAAAACAGACCACTTTAAGGTTCCATGTAATAAATTATTTCATCACAGCCCTTTTGAAGGACTGCGGATCATCAGACTTTACTTACAAACAGGAAATGAAAAGAAAATTTACACTTCCTCACTTCGTTAATTTACATATGTTTAATACGGCCCGTCAAAAATGTGTAAATTTTCTTTTTCATTTTTTTGTCTCTTTTTATTTAAATTATATATATATATATATATATATATATATATATATATATATATATATATATTTCAATCCTTCATGAATTTCTGATCCTTAGCTATAATTTATTAATGATGAACATATCATTTTCGTTTATGATCGATTTCATCACAACTCTTCTCTTAAGCTTGGAGACTAATTATACTTTCTTCTTGCTCAAATCATATGTGCGATATATTATAATTATATGTATATTTATATTACTAAATATACATATTATCCCTCACCGATTGCATGAATCGGAGTTTCATGCACAACGCAATCTTCAGGTCCTGAGTATAGACTGCCCGTTACGTAAATTATTTTTTTTTTAAATATCTGGTTATTACAATGTTGATGCAATTATCATACTTATTATAAAAACCCAGGTTGTGTGTGTGTGTGTGTGTGTCTGTACGTTTATATATTGGATTGGATTTCCTACATTTTTAACCGATTTCAACAAAACTTCACAGGACTATGTAAAATTACCTTACGGTGGTTCTGACAGCGCCAAAAATTGGAAAAACACAATTGTTTTTGCACAAAATCAATTTGAAAACACGATTAAGAGACATCACGAAAATTAAAGGGGGACAACTCATATCGAGTTATACTTAAAACCCAGGTTGTGTGTGTGTGTGTGTGTGTGTGTTCGTTTATATATGGGATTGGATTTCCTACATTTTTTAACCAGTTTCAACAAAACTTCACTTTTTTTTGGCAGGTAGTGTTTCTTATTCTCTTGCACACTTTTTTCTTTATTTTTACATTCACGATGCTTTAAAAATTCCATTCACAAGACAATTGTTTATAATAAAATTCTATTCAATCGGTAGACTCATAATGATTGAAAACAATGTTTTCGTTTGAGTTTGACCAATTCGTAAAAAAAACAAAAACAAAACAAGCAAAAAAACTAATTAAGACATGCGTGTCCGTCAACCTTAAACAATAATCTTTGTCAATTTTATTTTTCAGTCTTTATGATGGTCGATACTTGATCTATCTCTTACTGTTACATCCCCGGGCAACGCCGGGCTCTACTGCTAGTATATTAAACAAGGATTACAGTTTTAAATTTTTTAAATTATATTTGTCATTTAAAATAACGGGATTGGTATATATATTTAAAAAAAAATTATTTTTGAGCTGTGAATATTTTTATTTTTTACATGAAGCATAAATGAAATTACTTGCTTTTTAAAATAAAAACCGTAATTAACATTAAAAAGGAATCTGGATCAAAGTATTTAAGCAGATATTTATTTTTATGCCTACTCGTAGCCATCAATTCATGTCTACTGTTTAATAGGCTAAGGTTATTTAAGTGTTTCAACAAGACATAATTTACATCTATTTCCTGCCCCATTAAAAGATTTTTCTCTTGCTACAATATACCAGTTGATAAAAGGTGTATTATCATCATTCTTTAATTGCCATAAATATTTAGAGAGAGCAGTGCCGTCTTTGCATTTTTTATTGCCTAAAGTCATTCGATAATGGCAGAAACGAAATTTCCAAGGATTTTCAGTAGAACGAAAAGAAAATTTAAGATCGTAACCGGAATGTATGCTTGCTCGGTATACATTATTATCGATCATACATTGACCTTTTAAGTGACAGACCATATTTTTCGATAGTTACTTTTATTTTTTAAAATTAAGATTGTTGGAAATCCATTTGTTTAATATCATGTAGTTATGTTGGGATGTAGACTTATCAATGTTTTTGAAGCAGCTATTTAATAATTATACATACATACATATATATATATATATATATATATATATATATATACAGAGAGAGAGAGAGAGAGAGAGAGAGAGAGAGAGAGAGAGACGCACACACAAATGAAATGAGAACGAATAAAATATAAATTCAAACGTCCATAAAATTCATTTAAAAATTTGGATCAATACAATAGTAGAAAGATAATTCTTTATTATGGGATATTACATTCAAACACATCTGTAAAAACGCTACATAAATGCATCCATGTTTCGATGCATATTATGACCAAATAAATTATTAAATTGTAATATCTCAGTCTGTTTCATCCTCAATTGAATTTTGGAACCAAAAAATCGCTTGAGGATGAAACAGAACGGGGTAATTTAATTTAATTTCTATAATTGAATTGGAAGTTTTTAGCTTCTGTTTTTGAAACATGGTAATTCCTATATAGCGATGAAATTATACTTTTAAAAAAATAATTATAATATAGGCTCTACTTCTGTATCGAGCACTGTTCTTTTTTTTAATAAAAACAAAAATACTAAAGAACTTCGGTTTATTAACCTAACGGTTCTTTTCTATTTTACACACACACACACACACACACACACACACACACACACACACACACACACATATATATATATATATATATATATATATATATATATATATATATATATATATATATATATATATATATATATATATATGTATATATATATATATATATATATATATATATAAAATAAATAGGAGGTCATTGTATATTTGAACTATTTTTTCGGTATTTATGTAGCTTCATCATGTGTCTGAGGATTTTAATATTTTAATATTTTTTATTGTTCAATATATATATATATATATATATATATATTTATATGTATATATATATATATATATATATATATATATATATATATATATATATATATATATATATATATATATATATATATATATATATATATATATATATGCATATATATATATATATATAAAATAAATAGGAGGTCATTATATATTTGAACTATTTTTCGGTATTTTGTAGCTTCATCATGTGTCTGAGGATGTTAATTTTTTAATATTTTTTATTGTTCAAAATATATATATATATATATATATATATATATATATATATCAAATAAATAGGAGGTCATTATAAATTTGAATTATTTTTCGGTATTTATGTAACTTTATCAGAAATTTTCGGATTAGAATGATCTGATGTTATTCAGTTTATTAAATTCTCTGTTGTGTTTGTGATGATTGTGTAAAATTCATATGTGTACTGTCGTCACCGTTTTTTTTTTAATTTTTGTTTCACTTTATTTATTTATTTTTATTTAAAATTGTTTATAAATAAGTTTATATAAATTTGTAAAAAAAAATACCGTGTATTTCTTTATTAGACGGAAAACGTTAAAATAAAGAAAGCAAGAAAGAAAACAATGGCGTTAGAAGAAATTATAGATATGGGCAACGGTTTAAATAAAAATCGACGAAACAAAGACAAAAGCGAGAAAGAATTAAAGAATCATTGGAAAGTTTGACTGAAAAATGCCGGGAACAGAAGAAAATAGAAAGTGGGAAGAAAACAAAAGAAAGAGTAAAAATAAAGGAAGAAAAATGAAAAAGAAAGTAAGTTTAACCAACTGCAACACTTCTAGATATTTTGGGAATTAATGACACAACTATTGACTCCTGTCTGATCAGTTAAAGTCGAAATCTGATCTAAAAATTGACCAACAAACTGCAGTGAACTCGAACAAAGAATGGCACGTCAGTATATTACTCATTTGAGTGACTCTATTTTGCTTCCCATCACTATGGTTGATGCTAACCTCCAGGACGCGTTGCAAATTTTAGGGCTAATATTCTTGGCTGACATAAAGTGGAAAGAATATATTGAATCAATTACTAGTTCTGCTGCTAGGAAGATTAATTCACTGTTTTGTGTCAGACAATTTGTGTACTAGATACAAGATAAAAGAAAGATTACAAAAGAAAGAAAGAAAGAAAGAAAGAAAGAAAGCAGAAAACAAACAAAGAAGATGGGGAACAAGAATACAATAAGAAAGAAAGAAAGAAAGAAAGAAAGAAAGAAAGAAAGATGGAATAGAAGGAAAAAGAAAGCTGGTAAAACGAAAGAGAGGGTGAATAAGAAAGAAAGAAACAAACAGACAAAGAACAAACAAACAAACAAACAAAGAAAAGAAAGAAAGAGACAAATTAAATTAGAATAGAATGAGATCCTCCACAAAAAGAAAGGAGAAAGGACACAATGAATAAGAAAGAAAGAAAAAAGAAAACTTTAATATAATATGCGAAAGAAAAATGATAAAAAGAAAAAAAGAAGACGATGAATAAGAAAGAAAGGAAGAAAAAAGAAAGAAGAGCGTGAAAAGAAAAGCTGAAGAGGACAAAGCGAGTAGGCTGAAAGAAAGAAGAAAAGGTGAAGGCAACGTAGGAAGAAGATGAATAAGTAAAAATCTCAATGCAAAGGACCAAAGAAACAAAGACGGAAAGACAGAAAAAAGTTAGAAAAGAATGAAAAGGAAGGCCGAAGAAAAAATAAAAATAAAATATAGTAAAAGAGGAAAAAAAGGGGAAGTTAGTGTAAAGTGGGAAAATTAATAAAAAGAAAAGAAAGAATATGACTGAAATAAATAAATAAACGAATAATTGAAAGAAAGAAAGAAAGAAAATAGAGAAAATAGAGAAAACGAATGGGAAGGAAAGCTAAAAAAAAGATGAGAGTAAAAGATAAAAAAGAAAGAAATTAGCATAGGATAAGAATAAAAGGTGAAAATAAAAAAAAATAGAGGGTTAATAAGAAAGAAAGAAAGAAAGAAAGAAAGAAAGAAAGAAAGAAAGAAAAAGAAAGAAACAAACAAACACACAAAGATATTGCAGGAGCGAATAACAAATAAGGAGATACAAAAAAAAAAAGAAAGAAAGAATGAAGTAATGAAGGAAATGACGAAGGAATGAGTGAAAAAATAAGGATATAAAAGAAAGAAAGAAAGGAAACAGGAAGGAAGGAAAGAAAGAAAGAAGTAAAGAAAGAAGCAGAAAGAAAGAAAAGAAGGAAAAAGAAAGAAGAAAGAAGCAAAGAAAGAAAGAAAGAATAGGAGAAGGAATAGCAGGAATGAATAAATACGTCAGGAAACAAAAAAGAACAGAACAAACGTAAGAAAGAAAGAATGAATAAAAGGAGAGGAGGAAGGAAGGAGCCAATAAAAAATAAGGATGCAAAAGAAAGAAAAAAAACAAGAAATATGGAAGAGAAGTAGTGAATTATAAAATAAGGAGATAACTGACGAAGAAAGAAAGAAAGAAAGAAAGAAAGAAAGAAAGAAAGAAAGAAGGGTGGAAGGACGTAATGAAGGGATGGACGAATAGCAGCAGTGAATGACAAATTAAGGAAATAAAAAAAGGACATAGAAAAAAAGGAAGAAAGAAAAAAAAAGAAACGAAGAAGAAAAAAAAAAAAGAAAAAAAGGAAAAAGAAAAAAAAATCAGAAAAATAAATGAGAACAAAAAAATGGCATCCCAAGGAGAGAAGAAAGAAAAATGTGAATGTTTTTAACAAGAAATCAAAAAGAAAAACGGAATGAAGAAGCAAAAAGTAGTGGGGAGTATCTACAAGACGTTAGAGCATATAGTTCCCCAATAAAGCCTCCACAATCGTCATGCCTACCTACACTTAAAGCCATTTATTTCCTTGAAGACGAGAGTAACGCTGAGAGAGACGACAGAGAAGCAAAAACAGATATGAAACGAAAAAGAATCAGCCGATAAAATTGGCATTCACTGGCTTAGTTGGCTAATTTAAAAGTAAAGCAAAAAGACGTCACACAAAAAAAAGCATTTCTGAGTGATAGCGAGAAGATTGTTTTTTGAAAGGATGTAGAAGTGATATGTCGTCGATATGTTACGAGGGCGATAGTCTTGAATGTTTTTTTTTTCCCATAAATTTACTGGCATCATCAGCATCATCATAATCATCTTTCTTTTTTTTCTATTATTTGCCATCCACTTTCGAGACCCGGATGATCACGACTCTCCACAGTGTAATATCTTTTGTTGTTCTAAGTAACTTTTGACCCTGTCTGCTTCTCTTATGTAAGTTGTAAACGTGATATATTGTTGGTATGTTGTTAGTTTGAAAGCCTTGGATATGTTTCACCATAAATTTACTCTTGTCATCATCCTCATCAACGGCACCAATAACATCTTTCTTCTTCTATTACTTGTTATTTCCTTTCGTGTGACCATGGCTCTCCACAGCTTCCTCTCATTTGTTGCACTTTGAATATTTTTCTTTTATGAGTCGGTAAGAAAGAAAGGCAGAAGCAAGGAAGGAAAGGAAGGAAGGAAGGAAGGAAAAAAGAAAGAAAGAAACAAACAAACAAACAAAGGAAGGAAGGAAGGAAAGGAAGGAAAGAAAGAAAGAAGGATTGAAAGAAGGAAGGAAAGAAGGAAGGAAGGAAGGAAGGAAAGGAAAGAATAAATGAAGGAAGGAAGGAAGGAAAGAAGGAAAGAAAGAAGGAAGGAAAGAATGAAGGAAGGAAAGAAGGGAAGAAGTAAAGAATAAAGGAAGGAAGGAAGGAAAGACGGAAGGAAGGAAACGTGAGCATAAAAAGCAGTAGGAATTAAAATGAAGTATCGATAAGGGTGTATATGGAAAGAAAGAAAGAAAGAAAGAAAGAAAGAAAGAAAGAAAGAAAAGAAAGAAAGAAAAACAAATGAAGGAAAGAAAACACACTATAAAAAGCAGTAGGAATTAAGAAGAAGTAACGATACACACAGTAAAATAGAAATACAAAACGAAAGAAAGCAAGAATGATTGAATCAATTAATGAATGAATAAATGAATGAAGGGGGAAAACTTATAAAATATAGGAATTAAAAAGAAGTAACGATAAGTGTATACATGGAAAATTAACAGAAAGAAAGAACGAAAGAAAGCAAGAGTGAAGGAAGGAAGGAAGGAAGGAAGGAAGGAAGGAAGGAAGGAAGGAAGGAAGGAAACCGGAATAAAAAAGAGGTAGGAATTAAAATGAAGTATCGATAAGGGTGTATATATAAGATTAAAAAAAAAAGAACAAACGACAAAACGAAAGAAAGCAAGGAGGAAGGAAGGAAGGAAGGAAGGAAGGAAGGAAGGAAGGAAGGAAAGAAAACTTACTATAAGAAAGCAGTAGGTATTAAAAAGAAGTAACGATACACACAGAAAATAGAAATACAAAACGAAAGAAATCAAGAATGAATGAATGAATGAAGAAAACTGTTTATAAAAAGCGGTAGGAATTAAAATGGAGTATCGATAAGAGTGTACACGGGAAATTAACAGGAAGAAAGAAAGAACGAAAGAAAGAAAGTCTGATGAAAGAATGAAGGAAGGAATGAATGAATGAAGGAAGGAAGGAAGGAAGGAAGGAAAACTGAGTATAAAAAAAGAAGCAAGTGGATCACAGATCAGGGCCTAGGAGAAATGACAAAAAGACAAAACTTATTCTGAGCTACAACAAACAGGAAGAGATGGAGGACCGTGATCATATATGTCCTGAAGGGACACGGCACATAAAAGAAAAAAGAACGATAAAAAGGCACGCAGAAAATAGAAAGAAAGAAAGAAAGAAAGAAAAGACGGAAAACACGAAAATAACACAAAACCTAAAAAAAAGAAAAGTAAAGAAAAATAAAAAGAAAGAAAAAGAAGGAAGAAAAGACAAACACACGAACAAAAAAAAAGTGTTTAACGAGATCCTTACAAATATAAGGAAGGTAGAGAATAAGGAGAGCCAGAAAGAAAAAATGTTTCTCTCTATTTTTGTCTGCTGTCTCTCTAATTTCTCTAATCTCTAAATCTGTGTCGTTAGGTTGTTCATCATCTGAAGATACCAATCAACACCAATACCAGTAGCAGTAACTATCACTCCAAAAAGGCCGTAAACGACGAACGAAAAAGGTCTTCAAGTAACTGAAATTCATTAATTATTTCTGCCCCAAAATACGTTGATTTTTTAAGGCAAACCCAATATTCATCAGCGCAACAAAATATCGTTCGAGATTTCCTATGCCTATTTTTTCAGTTTATTTTTTTTCTTTCGCTGTATCTCTTTTATTTAGTAATCCATAATCCAGTACAAGGTCCAAGAGCCACTCCAGGTAGAGCGTTACTGAATAAGGTCATTGTATGAACGTAAAAGGCGGAGATAAGATTAGGAGAATAGTTAGAAAAGATAATGTTTAGTTCTTGACATGATGGAGGACAAGATTTAAGTGATCGGGAAAGCAACTTCTCGGGAGTTTTCTCTTCAAAGTAGCGGTTCTTGAGTAGCTTTCTAGAAACAAAAATTCTTATTATTAGATGTGGCATGGTAGGTCTTAGCTGTGAAGCTTTGAACTGGTGGAACTAATGAATACATATCACATGATTTTCCCTGGAAATAGCAATTGGGTAGCGAAAGGCTTGGGACTTTTACACTGTGAAGAAAGGGGTTGTAGAGTGGAAAATAATTCAAGACATATTTGAAATCTACCAAAGTTGAAAAGCGAAGACTGAGCAACACCAGACAGGATATGGCAGCAGTAGTGTAAATCCCCATGTATAATATGCACTTTTTTTCTGGAAAATAAGCAAAATTAGGGATGCGTATTATGCACAGATACAAATAAATCTTCAAAAAATTGCCGTTTCAAAGGTTGATTTCAGTTGCGAAATGTCTACTCACCACAAACATATGACAACTTGACACTAACATTCGGCGATAAGGATGTGAAATATAATCATATGTGCCTAACAATACTTAGAAATGTAAAATAAAATAATTATCATAAAATTAAATTAGAATAATATTATTCTATTTTTAAAACCATTTTCTGTCACATTTTATAGAACAAAAATAGGTTAATGAATCTGCGCAGTAGGCACAATATAGGTATTTCCGTTTCCTTTTAGAATCGTGATGATCGGAAACTTTGAGAAATATCTTTAATTACAGCTTGAATAAAAGTAGGAAACGCTAGCCGTAACGACATTGGAGAAGGACAATTTATAGGCTTTGATTACCAAACAAGGGGTGCATATTATGCGCGAGTAGAAGCATTTTCTGACAGTTTCAACACAATTTTAGGGGTGCGTATTATGGATGAAGGCGTATTATACTTGGGGAAATACGGTAGTCCGTTTTGGATTTTTATCTGAACCTGTAAAAGCAAAGCATACCAGGAGGAGTCAGATACACTCCAGTGCGGTACAATGCACCCACTATTTTTCTTGCATCCTTCGCAATGGATTATATATACATATATATATATAGTTCTGCTCGAGGCTTTTTAAAAATGAAGGTTCCTTGATGAAAGATTACTAATTTAGTGTTGGGCGACAGAATACTATTTAAAAGTCGATTTTGTCCACCATTGAGTAGTGCGAGAAATCCCAATGCAGATATCTATCTGAAACCGTTCTCCTTCAGTCTTCCTTCGATTCCATTTTTTTAGGAACGTCTCGCTGTTGTTATAAGCACTAGACAACTGTACTTAGATGAACTTTATATCAATAAGAAAACAATCTTTTTTTTTTTAAGATGGCACGCTTCGGGTATTTTATGATTCGTAAATATCTAGGGGTCATTGTGATAAAAAGAAAAGGGTCTAAATCTAGTTGGATGGAGTATCTTTAGTTTGATTAGAATGTCTTAATTAATATCTTACCTTTCAAATCGGTAAATGAGCAGCAGGAGTTGGGGTTATAGTTTTAGGTCTGCAAACGTTCCGCTTTCCATCAATACGGAAGTACAAAAAGATTAAAATGGCGTCTCCGGTGCACTAGGTTGAACTTTGGGGTTTTGAAGCCCATATTTATATAGAGAGGCAGAAAAAGAGGAATTTTAGATAAAGTAGAATTGGAAGAAAACAAATAATAAAAGAAGCAAGAGTAAAAAAAATAACTGTAAAATGTAAAAAGAAAGAAGTAAAGCGAGAAAAGAAGGAAACAAATTAAAAAGAAGAAAAGAAAGAAAGAATTTAGGTGAAGAAAGAAATATAAATTAAAAAAAGAGAGAGAGTGAGAAAGCAATAGAATAATGAAAGAAAAACAAATTAAAATGAATCACAGAAAGTAAGAAATATTCAAAGAAAAATGGAGAACAAACTTGCGCGGCAAACAAAAAGAAACTGGTTAATATGGGAAAAAAAAGAAAATGGAAAGAAAAATAAGTCGAAGGTTAAAAAAGAGGAAGCAAAATAGAAAATATGGGCAAAGGGTAAAAAATAGGTGAAGAACTGATGTCGACAAAGAAATAAAGAAAAGACAGACAAAAAAAACGAGAGGGAAAAGAGAGAGAAACAAGAAGAAAGACTTAGAAAGAGAGAAGAAAAAGAAGCAAAGATGAGGGAGGCAAGAAGGAAATAGGGTATGAAAGATTGGAAGAAGGAAGGAAGAAGATTAAATTAAACAAAACGAAGAGAAAAAACAGAAGGAAAGCAGAGAAAAGAAGAAGAAAACATCCAAAGAAAGAAAGGAAGAAAGAAAGAACAGAGGAAAAAGAAAGAAAGAAAGAAAGAAAAAATAATTACGAATTATAAACGATAATGAGATATGCAAAGAAAGAAAAGAAAGAAAGAAAGAAAGAAAGAAAGAAAGAAAGAAAGGAAGACCTAAAATTACTAAAGGCATATTTATCTTCCATCAACGATTTCTTCGAGGGATTTTATGTTTACACAAGCGTCGAGTCAGGGAAGATGCAGGCACAAACTACAACATTCCGAGAATACCTATATATATATATATATATATATATATATATATATATATATATATATATATATATATATATGGTTTCTATCACTTTCTCTCTTTCTATATTATATATATATATATATATATATATTGACTATCTATTTATATATATATATATATATATATATATATATATATATATAGTGACTATTTATCTATCACACCCAATATATATATATATATATATATATATATATATATATATATATATATATATATAAAAATGTGTTTGGTGGTACAAAATTTTATCACTTCCATAAAAAGACAAAAATTAGTTTTATTATCACTACTCATGATAATAAAAAAGTACAAATGAAAAACAGGCTAGCTAACCGGTTCCGTACCTCGCTCAACAGAACTAAATCGAGGTAAATAGAGTAAATTATATAATAAAAAAAAGAACAATGGACAAAGTTTATTGGTGGGGGTGGGAAAAAATTTAAATGGTAATTTTTGGAGGCCTCATATAAATTCCTTCTGTTTACAAAGAGAAGACTTTAAAGATAGAATATAGATGGCCTCCAATACTTTTAGGCGGTAATTTGTGTGGGGCTTGCAAAGGATGGTAAAGAGTCCTCACTAAAACTAACACACACACACACACACACATATATATATATATATATATATATATATATATATATATATATATATATATATATGTTGCTCAACTGCTTTCTCGAAAGCCTGTACTTTATAATGCTCCATAAGTTTTCTATGGGGTTGAGGTCAGGAGATTGGGGCGGCCATGTCATAACACTCACCTGCTTCTCATCAAAGTATTCCTTCATTAATTTTGATTTGGGACAGGGAGCATTATCCTGCATAAAAATGAGCTTGGTGGGGTCGATTTGCACCCTTTCAGCAGAAGGGAGCAGACAAGACTCTAAAATTCTCTTGTACTGCTCGCTCCTGAGGGTTTTTCAGTAGGTTTTAAGAAACCAGTTCTATGAAAATAAAAGCATCCCCAGAACATTATACTGAACGGATGCTTGACAGCACTTACTGTCAAATTCAAAGAGCTTTCAAAGCTTTTTGGGGGATTTTAGATCTCTTATCCTTTGAATTTAGATCAACTTTCGTTTCATCGGAGAAGTGAACATTTAGTAAAAAAAATCAGGTGAGTCACTTTTATCGAACAGCACTGTAAACATACATAATTTTTTATATATATATATATATATATATATATATATATATATATATATACACCATTTTATATTTTTCATTTCACGCATGCGCGTTAGTTTTTTTTTTATCGACTGCACAATATAGTAGAGTGAGTTGGGTGCCGTCTGTGACAAAAAGAGCACCATGACTCAATTCAGTCCGCCGGGAATTAGGAAACGGTATGCTGTATTACATGACATTCACACCGGAAGCTTCAATATCAACATTGCAAAGTGTTTGGGCGTCAACCTGAGAATAATGGACAGGATTCGGAAAGAGATGGACGAGCCTAATAGTGATTACGAAGGTATGGCTAATCGGCAAACTAACTCTGATCGTTCTGATAAGAAAAGAACTACCGAATTTGTTGTTGAAATCAAGGCCACGATGGAAAACGATCCATCCAAATAAATCAGGTCCATAGTCCGGAAGCTACTGCCTTTCTGGTTCAAGGCGGTGGCACTGGAAGAACATATGTCAGGCAACAGGACACTGCAACATGTCACACAAGCAAGAGAACCCATGCATGGCTATCGGACAGTTTATGCGATCACATCATTCCTTATATCTGGGTACCTAACTCTGTAGTCTTCAACCATCTTGATTATTATGTGTAGGGCGCAGTTCAACCAGAGATCAACAAAACTCTTTTAACACCAACGATAAACTGAAGGCAAAGATTATGGCAGCACTCATCAACATAAACAAGGAGCCCATCCCGAAGAATTGCAGAAGATTCCGAAGTCATCTGAAGGCCGTGACTGAAGACAAGGGTGATTTTGTTTACTAAATCTACTCTTTTGTATTTCAAGATATTTTTGTGTAATTTTGGTAAATATATGTTAAAATGAGACGTCAGTGTTATTTTTATTTTCGCGTCATGTAGACGACAATTTACCCACGCACCCACTATCTATCTATCTATCTATCTATCTATCTATCTATCTTGAAATATGTAATTGTCATCTTTGATAATGGTTTATGTAAGCCGAAAGCTTCGATATGATTAAAAAGTATGTATCAATATTGTGATTTTCCTTCTTTTAATGATAATGTCATTAAGCTTATCAGATGATATGAAAAGAATTTACATATAATAAGTAGACAACACTTGTCTATATTATTTAATGAAACATGCATCAATATATATATATATATATATATATATATATATATATATATATATATATATATATATATATATATATATATATAAATATATATATAGATAGATAGATAGATAGATAGATAGATAGATAGATATAATAAAAAAAGCTCAAACAGTAATATTCTATGGTTATAATTTATTACATTGGAATCGTAATCACGATCCGTTTCATCAGACCTACAAATTCAAAAAGAAATCGGAAAATATAACTCCGGGTATAAAAACAAAACTTTAGTGAGAGTGTATAAGCGGGAGTGGGAAACAATTTTGAAAGTGAGATTTTAATTTTAATGTAGGTCAGCGATTCTGTAGTGAATTATGCATCGAAAAATAATTCATAGTTATCTGTATCTCACTCATTTAAACTGCTATTTAACGCCTCTCTTTAAAACTTCTTTCTGTTAAATTTTAATCTCCCACCTTCACCTTTAGGCTTTTATTGTTCTTCTTTCTTCTATTACTCCCCTCTCTAAAGCTTTCATACATCTCACTTTCCAAATTGTTTCCCACTCCCGTGTGTGTATGTATTAAACTTTTCACCCTAAACAAGTTAGTAGAAGTCACCAAGATTTAATGGGGGTTATATGAGAGTGACGCAAACAGTGGGAACAATGGTTCGAGAAAACAGAAAATGACGACTGACATTGTATTTAAATTTTGAAAATTGTAGTTTGCCGGAAATCTGGGAGAGCATTTCATGAGCGAGAATTTCGAGAGAAGAGACTGTCAATATCTTACGGTTACATCTCGCCATTTCAATAAGGAATGTATTCTCAATAAAATTATGCTTTTTATATATTGGTCAATCCCTTTGTCACCTTCTGCACTTCCCCTCACTGCATCATTTTAACCGAAGCTTGCGTTTATATATCTCCTCCTCTCCTTCCTACACATATATAATTCCATTGTTTAGGCTGGCGCAACACAAAATAAAATGAAACAGATTCTTAGAAATTAAAGTTGAAGGAGAAGATTACGTGTAATAACAAAAAGTGTGTTTTATTTAACATATAATAAAATAATTTTTATAAACACTCTGAAGTTTAAACAATATACGTTGGGAAATGCTTACAGTTGATAAGCGTGTGAGAGCCCAAAAAGTAGTTGGCTTAATGTGTAGCTATATGAGGGAGTGTGAGAGGAAATCCTTATACAGTTAAGATTAAAGCAACGGATGGGAATTTGTCGTCGCTAGTCAAAGAATAATATTATTCTTCTTAGAAAAAAATAGTAAGATATTCACATGTATATAAAATAAAGGAGTTTGGTCAATAATATCAAAGAATAAAAAGGTAATATATTTACCGATAGCTTTTTTCTTTTGAGGACTATCGAAACTTAGATTCTTTCGGTGGAACCTTTGTTAATGAACCAAAAGGACCGGAGTCGACCTCAGTAGTCGGGGCTGTGGATTCAGAAGTAATCACGATCCAATTCATCAGACCTACAAATTCAAAAAGAAGTCGGAAAATATAACTCCGGGTAAAAAAACAAAACTTTAGTGAGCGTATATGTGCGGGAATGGGAAACTATTTTGAAAGTGAGATTTTAATTTTAATGTAGGTCAGCGATTCGTTAGCGAATTATGCATCGAAAATAATTCATAGTTATCTGTATCTCACTCATTTAAACAGCTATTTAACGCCTCTCTTTAAAACTCTGTTAAATTTTAATCCCCAACTTTCATCTTTAGGCTTTTACTGTTCTTCTTTCTGGCTAGTTGGCACAAACACATGTTTATATATGTTTTTTGTACCCTCTAGAACCCAGTAAAAGTTTCTAGAGACTTCTAGAAAGTTCCATTCTATTATTATGAAATCTAAAGTGTTTGGTGAATGGGAGCTTTTCGTAAGGTAAAAAAAGGACATCTAGTAGCCACAGATTTAAGTCATCATTTTAAGCTTGGTTTTGTATTTTATAGTGTAAGTGTAAAGACGTAGGTCAAAATGAGGCCTCGTAACACCATCAACAAAAACATTACTTTCTAAACCATTTCTGCTTTGTGGCCAATTTCAATCGTACATAAGCACAAATAGAAATTCTAATATAATAGTAAATACATTTTATTTATAAAAGCAAAATGTACTTACACTATTTTCGTTGTTCGGACTATTTTCCTCATCTTTGACATATACACGACGTTTCGACCGTGGCACGCCCCGACCTTCTTCAAGCAAAACCACCTGAAAAGTTCAAGTTTTTGTTCACCTCTGCTGCGGCCAGGTATTGAACTCACAACACGTAGGGTAAAGTCACTGGATAACTTCAACCAATGCTTTTATGCACTGGACCATGTGTCTTTGGCTGGAAAGGCATGTAATGTGACAAAAGAAAAATCTACCCCAGTTGACTAAATAAAGGGTTCGGTTCAAAATTCCAACGTATATCACCTGAAGAAGTCTTGACTCTACAATTGCCGAAACGTCGTTAATATGACAATGAATATGAGAAAAACCGCCCGAACAATGTAAATAGTGTAAATAGTTACAATTCCGCATCACGGAAATATAGATAAAACCT